GCCCAGCTCGGAGAGGGTGGAGAGGAGGATCTGATGGTTCACAGTATCAAAGGCAGCAGACAGGTCTAGAAGGACAAGAGCAGAGGAGAGAGAGTTAGCTTTAGCAGTGCGGAGAGCCTCCGTGACACAGAGAAGAGCAGTCTCAGTTGAATTACCAGTCCTGAAACCTGACTGGTTTGGATCAAGAAGGTCATTCTGAGAGAGATAGCAAGAGAGTTGGCTAAAGACGGCACGCTCAATAGTTTTGGAAAGAAAAGAAAGAAGGGATACTGGTCTGTAGTTGTTGACATCAGAGGGATCGAGTGTTGGTTTTTTGAGAAGGGGTGCAACTCTCGCTCTCTTGAAGACGGAAGGGACATAGCCAGCAGTCAAGGATGAGTTGATCAGCGAGGTGAGATAGGGGAGAAGGTCACCGGAGATGGTCTGGAGAAGAGAGGAGGGGATAGGGTCAAGCGGGCAGGTTGTTGGGCGGCCTGCAGTCACAAGTCGCAAGATTTTATCTGGAGAGAGAGGGGAGAAAGAAGTCAAAGCATAGGGTAGGGCAGTGTGAGCAGGACCAGCAGTGTCATTTGACTTAACAAACGAGGATCGGATGTCGTCAACCTTCTTTTCAAAGTGGTTGACGAAGTCATCCACAGAGAGGGAGGAGGGGGGGGGGGGGGGGGGGGTGGTTTTTTTTGTTTTGATCATTTTTTGTTTTTTTTGTTCAGGGTTTTTTTTGTTTGTTTTTTTATTTGATGTTTTTGTTTTTTTTTTTTTCTTATTTTTGCTGTTTCTGGCAGGAGGAGAATGTGCAAGAGGATTAGAGGCAGATGCTGGAATTAGAGTGGTAGAAATGGCCCCTAGCAGCAGAAACAGCTGAAGAAATGTAGAGAGGAAGGATTGAAAAGATTGCAGTCCGCAGGGAGTTCTAGTTTTCTTCCATTTCCGCTCAGCTGCCCGGAGCTCTGTTCTGTGATCGCAATGAGTCATCAGCCACGGAGCTGGAGGGGGAGGACCGAGCCGGCCGGGAGGATAGGGAACATAGAGAGTCAAAGGATGCAGAAAGGGAGGAGAGGGAGGGTTGAGGAGGCAGAATTAGGAGATTGGAGGGAGAGAAGGATTGAGCAGAGGGAAGAGATGATAGGATGGAAGAGGAGAGAGTAGCGGGAGAGAGAGAGCGAAGGTTGCGGCCGGCGCATTACCATCTGTGTAGGGGCAGAGTGAGTAGTGTTGGAGGAGAGCGAGAGAGAAAAGGATACAAAGTAGTGGTCGGAGACATGGAGGGGAGTTGCAGTGAGATTAGTAGAAGAACAGCATCTAGTAAAGATGAGGTCAAGCGTATTGCCTGCCTTGTGAGTAGGGGGGGACGGTGAGAGGGTGAGGTCAAAAGAGGAGAGGAGTGGAAAGAAGGAGGCAGAGAGAAATGAGTCAAATGTAGACGTACGGAGGTTGAAATCCCCCAAAACTGTGAGGGGTGAGCCATCCTCAGGAAAGGAACTTATCAAGGCGTCAAGCTCATTGATGAACTCTCCAAGGGAACCTGGAGGGCGATAGATGACAAGGATATTAAGCTTAAATGGGCTAGTGACTGTGACAGCATGGAATTCAAATGAGGAGATAGACAGATGGGTTAGGGGAAAAATTGAGAATGTCCACTTGGGAGAGATGAGGATTCCTGTGCCACCACCCCGCTGACCAGATGCTCTCGGGGTATGCGAGAACACATGGTCAGACGAGGAGAGAGCAGTAGGAGTAGCAGTGTTTTCAGTGGTAATCCATGTTTCCGTCAGCGCCAAGAAGTCGAGGGACTGGAGGGTAGCATAGGCTGGGATGAAGTCTGCCTTGTTGGCAGCAGAACGGCAGTTCCAGAGGCTGCCTGAGACCTGGAACTCCACGTGGGAGGTGCGTGCAGGGACCACCAGGTTAGAGAGGCAGCAGCCACGCGGTGTGAGGCGTTTGTGTAGCCTGTGCGGAGAGGAGAGAACAGGGATAGGCAGAGGCATAGTTGACAGGCTGCAGCAAATGGCTACAATAATGCAGAGGAGATCGGAATGAAATGAGCTAAACATCTGGGAAAGGAGAGAGCGGGGCCTCCCTCACCACAACTCCCAAATATAACTCTCCCAACTTCCACCTCAGAAACTATAATTGTTTCACTGAAACACCTGAATATAACTCTCCCAACTTCCACTTTAGAAATTAGAATTGTTGTAAACTACAGTGGTTCAATGTTTCTAGGAATAGACTCTAACTTACTTTATTCAGCTAGCTAACTTGGTACAGTATTCTTCCATGAAAACCGCCCAGGGCACCGTATCCTATAACGCCATAGCTAACTAGCATGCTAGCATCCAATAACACACGGTTTAGCACCAATACTTGGTTACAACAAACTACCAATAGTGTGTTAACACACTAAACAGATAATTCGTGTCCGTGTCTAGTTCCTTTCATAACGCAGCAATAATTAAACGTTGGCTAGCTAGCACAAAGTCAGTCATGCTAGCTACACAAGTGGACTACACATCTCGAATGTTCAGAAAGGGAAGCTTTATGTTGCAAAATTCTCATTGACTAAAATTATATTGTATTTAGCTGCTACAGTACTGCTAGCTGGTAGTGTTGGCTAGCTAGCAATGGCTGTGGTGTTGACTTTGTTTGAAAAACGGCGTCGCTGCGAACGAGTGTAGCTGGCTAAAATGATATTGTATTTAGTTGCTACAGTACTGCTAGTGTTGGCTAGCTAACAATGGCTGCTGTGTTGACTTTGTTTGAAAAACGGCGTCGCTGCGAACAAATGTAGCTGGCTAAAATTATATTGTATTTAGTTGCTACAGTACTGCTAGTGTTGGCTAGCTAGCAATGGCTGCGGTGTTGACTTTGTTTGAAAAACGGCGTAGCTGCGAACGAATGTAGCTGGCTAGCTAACCTCGATAGTTTCTCTATACTACACCTTTATCTTTGATACAAATATGTAGCTAGCTAACATTACACTAATCAAATCGTTCCATTGTAATGTAATGTGTCATATTACCTGCGGAGCGAAGTACAGCATGACTACTCACCTCGCCTGCCGTTCCGTTTATGCCATCTTGGATATCTACCTGGTAACAAGTGAGGAATTCTTCACAGAAACAATACAGAGGAATGAAAGTCATCCAACTACTTGCCTAATAGCAAGTAGCTAGTTAGCTGGCTAGTTTCAGCCAGAGGTTCTGGATAAAAATGTATGAAGAAATAATAGAATCTGTTCCACATTGGGTGAGGCGGGTTGCAGGAAAGTATATTTAGTTAAAGGATGGAAAGTGAGATTGAGAAATATATACGAAAAAGACTAAAAAAAACTGGCTATTTACATGAGGACACTACAGAAAACACGACCGCACTGCTATGCCATCTTGGATATCTACCTGGTAACAAGTGAGGAATTCTTCACAGAAACAATACAGAGGAATGAAAGTCATCCAACAGTAACACATACATCTGGCACAGTCACTACATACTTACAAATGCCCTTAGACATGGATACAGAGATACAGACATAATCCAAATAGGTTTCATAATCTCTATCAGATTAATTATTTTTTTATTTTATTTTTAGTCATTTAGCAGACGCTCTTATCCAGAGCGACTTACATGAGCAATTAGGGTTAAGTGCCTTGCTCAAGGGCACATCGACAGATTTTTCACCTAGTCGGCTCTGGGATTAGAACCAGCGACCTTTCGGTTACTGGCACAACGCTCTTACCCACTAAGCTACCTGCCGCCCTAATAGCACTATGTGTGTCCATGCGACAATGGCATCATTATAAGAACCTAATCCTACAACATCCTAAATGACCTCCCCAAGGTACAGTATATGTCCATAGGATATGCCCAAATACAGTGAGGGGAAATAAGTATTTGATCCCCTGCTGATTTTGTACGTTTGCCCACTGACAAAGACATGATCAGTCTATAATTTTAATGGTAGGTTTATTTGAACAGTGAGAGACAGAATAACAACAACAAAATCCAGAAAAACGCACGTCAGAAATGTTATAAATTGATTTGCATTTTAATGTGGGAAATAAGTATTTGACCCCTCTGCAAAACATGACTTAGTGCTTGGTGGCAAAACCCTTGTTGGCAATCACAGAGGTCAGACGTTTCTTGTAGTTGGCCACCAGGTTTGCACACATCTCAGGAGGGATTTTGTTCCACTCCTCTTTGCAGATCTTCTCCAAGTCATTAAGGTTTTGAGGCTGACGTTTGGCAACTCGAACCTTCAGCTCCCTCCATAGATTTTCTATGGGATTAAGGTCTGGAGACTGGCTAGGCCACTCCAGGACCTTAATGTGCTGCTTCTTGAGCCACTCCTTTGTTGCCTTGGCCGTGTGTTTTGGGTCATTGTCATGCTGGAATACCCATCCACGACCCATTTAATGCCCTGGCTGAGGGAAGGAGGTTCTCACCCAAGATTTGACGGTACATGGCCCCGTCCATCGTCCCTTTGATGCGGTGAAGTTGTCCTGTCCCCTTAGCAGAAGAACACCCCCAAAGCATAATGTTTCCACCTCCATGTTGGACGGTGGGGATGGTGTTCTTGGGGTCATAGGCAGCATTCCTCCTCCTCCAAACACAGTGAGTTGAGTTGATGCCAAAGAGCTCGATTTTGGTCTCATCTGACCACAACACTTTCACACAATTTGAATCTCTCTCTCTCAAGCTGGGCCAGGACTCTGGAGGATTATGTGTCTCTAGTCCACTGACACCTGCTCCAGATGCTGTACATCTGCAGCCTATAGCTCTGCAGACATGGAGATTATATACCAACAGGGCTGACGGACAGATGTGTCTCTATTGTCCTGCAGAGGTCAGGTAGACCAACACAGCACTAAGGTTTTGTCCTGCTTCTGAGAACTGCTGTGGATTTAATTTGATGTGATTACCAGTACAGTTAGTGTCTAGCTAGTATTTTGAGGTTGTGGGTTGAACACACCATGTTACTGTCTGTGAAGGTATTTAAGGTACTCACTTCCCTGTGTCTTCTTGCGGGAGCGGCAGATGCAGGCGAGGGCAGCCAGTAGGAGGAGGAATGGGATCCCGATGCCCAGAACCAGGCCCAGGATCAGGGGCTTCTTATCCTCTGCCACCTGGGCCCCGTCTATCCCCGTCCTGTTCAAACCACCCAGGTCTAAATAGTGGGCCAACAGTGGAACGTTAAGTTAAATAGACCATTGACACATTATTATGTCATACTTAGGGCCAAGATTATTTCCTGGCCAGTTCCCGTGTTAACAAAATCGAGGAGCTGGCCAGTGCATGGTTAGTTAATATATGGTTAGTGGAAACTCTTTTCCATAACCATAGTATGAAATCACCACGTGAAATGACCAGGAAAAACGTATGTCCCACACACAAATATAGGCCTTAACGCTTTAAAACATAATACGAAAAAGTAGTCCCTCCCATTTTCAATCTGTTTTCCTCCTTGCTGTCACATGCTGCGTAAACAATAGGTGTAGAATAACAGTGAAATGCTTAAAGGCCCTTCCCAACAATGCAGAGAGAAAGAACTAGCGCATTTCTGGACTGGAGTTTTTCCTGGTCAGGAAAAACAAATTATCCTTCAGCTTTTTTTATGTCCCAGACACAAATATAGGCCTATGTAAAAATTGTTCGATTGGACAGGCTGCCCACACGCTCCCTCTCACCTGTCTCAGTCTCTCTCCTCCAGCTCCCTGGTTCTTCCAGCCCATGGAAACGTTGAAGACATTGAACTCTGTCAACAACAACAAGGCCATCAGATGACCTCACATTCTATGATGTGGTCATGATCACCATGGTAACACTGACGCAGCAATGTCATGTGGGCAGTATTGGGGGATTTGTTTGAGAAAATAGAAGGCTTACCTGGTGGATTGGCAGAATCCCCTGCAAAGGAACAAATGAAAGGTTATCATCATTATACAAAAACAATCTGGTTAACACTTTACTTAAAGGCTCAATGCAGACATTTTTATATCAAAAAATTAAGTTCCTTACTGTAATAGTTTTCCATTAAAATTGTCAAAAATAAACAAAAATTACTTTTTAGCAAAAAACTATTTCTCAATAAATAATTTTGCTAGGACTGTCTGGGTGTGGTCTGAGTAGGGAGGGGAAAACTGAAAACTAGCTTTTATTGGCAGAGAGGTTTGGAACTCTTTGTTATTGGTCTATTAACTTATTTACCGCTTGGTGAGGTCACCAGGCAAGCCGAAACTCCACCCATGCGAAACGTGGTGATTAGAAGGTCCTGTGTAGATTGTATTTTCAGCCAGCAACTATCCGCAAATAACACTGATCAAATCTTTTCACACTTTTACAGTGTTAGTTTATAATAATGATACAAAGCACAGGAATAACAGAATGTTGACTGCACTGGGCTCTTAATAAAACCTTTATATGCATAACAGTCCATATAGAAATGCTCCCTATATTGTTCTGTCTGTCTGTATTTGTTCACCTGAAATGTTCCCTGCAGATGGCTGCCCACTATGCTGTCGTATTGGCAGGTGCCACCGTTGAGGCAGTTGCACACCTGCAGGATGGGGGTGAACTGAGAGCTGAACAGCTGGTCATTAACTCTGATGATCAGGTAGACAGGCTGGATGTCGAGTGGTGTTCAGGTCAATATGCCATCACCTATAGGGAGAGCTCACTTTTCCCAACAAAGGCTTGTGGTGGTCTGGGGAAGAGCAGTGAGAAGCTTATAGTGTTGGCATCTTGAGCGCTGATCTGCATGTGAACAGTGGATTTGACCTTACAGCGGATCACTGTGGGCTCAGTCACGATGGGAAAGGAAAGGAAAGCCGGGGAACAGAGGCATGTTCCCTACATAGGAGAGAAATTGGAGCATGTCAATGACCAATAGAGAAGCATGCCAATTGACCTCAATCACCACTACACTGCATTTGATGAATTCTTACAGAGCGGATGGTATAATGCGTTGGAGTAGGATGAAGTTGCACATAGACGCTGATCTAAGGTCCATTTTGTGTTTACCCCCTTAAACTAGCCCAATTAGGGTAATAGTTCAGATTAGAGTCTATTATTGGGGAGGGTAAGCTGCTCCTAGATATTTGTCCATGGGGCAACTTTTACCCAGAGCATACAACAGTATGTGACTCAAAGAGGAAGGGCAAACATGTAGAATAAAGATATGAATTCTTGGACCTTTGGCTAATATAACAGTTGACTCACCAAACACCATAACCAGGTTGTGGTCCAGCTCCTGGGACTCCAGACTCTGCAAACCTAGGTCAGTGTCGTTAGAAGACAGGATGTCATGAACACACTGCAACCTGACTGCATCATACACTGTACAGACAGGACCTTATCATTTATGTAACCGAGGGGCTCTGTGTGTATTAGCACCAACTTATCAGACCAAGGCTGAAAGACCGCTCCTTTAAACACCTAGCAATGTCTGTGAATGGCTACTAATACTTGGCACTCCATGTGTGACTCTGAGTGGAGTTAGGAGTACTTAATCTGTGTGATACACTATATTAGGGGAGAGAGACCACATTAGCATGGTACTTAGAATAAAGCAATGTATTGGACATGCATTCTAAGTGGTATGTTAGTATGGACGTTCAATGTGCCTCCAACTCCTTCAATGTGACTTGACTCAAGCCTCACTCACAGGACAGGCCAAAGGGGTGCAGACGCTCCTCCAGGGGAAGGTTATGTTGGGGAATATCATCAGCTTCCCGTCAGACTGCAGAAAGTCATCGGTGTGGTTGGAGCTCCAGAAGCCCAGCAGGCCCACGGTCCAGCTGTAGAAGGTCTGGGGGACCTCCACCAGGGCAGCCAGCTGCTGTCCACCATCACCTCCATCCACCCTCCACGTGCAGCCCCCCGGCGTACACCGCCACTGACCGAGGTACGGTGCACCACATCTACAAGGACAGCAGTAGGGCACTGTTATGTCAGCTCAAGGGGATATGAGGATTGCATTCTATTGCTACTGTAATATTGTATGTAACAAGGGTTGGAGAATGATGTTCCAAGTGGTTTGTAAGGTTTTATAGAGGTTTACTATATTCTTAAATTGCATTATCTAGTCTGGTGGAATAAAAGTACAAGGTTTAATAGTAATCTTCTTGTTTCTGTGCCAAGTTTGTTTTGGTACTAAATGATTTCTTACCGACAGAGACCTCCACATCTTCCACCAGGACCCCCAGTCCCTCTCTGACTCTGCACACCGCCACTTAACCTGAACACACACACACACACACACACACACACACACACACACACACAGGTAAGGATAATCAACCACATGAGATTTACAGCCCATAATACAACCCATCAGGCACACACACTGACCTTGCCAATGCCCTGGTGAAAAGCAGCCATCCTCACCACCGCGGGGACCCGTCTGACCTGTCCGTCTGTCTCCAGCTCGCCCGTCTCGCGCTGCAGCGTGAAGATACTGGAGCCGGTGTGGGAGGAGAGGCGCACAATGACAAAGTCGCAGAGGGCCTTGAAAGAGTACTCAGTCATTTTACTCATTTAGCAGACGCTCTTATCCAGAGTGACTTAAAGTAGGTAGTACCTTTTCATTCAGTCCCACTGAAGGTGATGAAATGAAGGTTGCTGTACACCATGCCTGCAGACAAAACAGATACACATGAATAGGAAACCATTCACTAACCAAGTGTCACGATCGTCGGATATAGAGGACCAAGGCGCAGCGTGGAAGGTGAACATACTTATTTATTAAATGAACCACGAACAAAACAACAAATCGATTCATGACGTCCACAGGTGCAAAACACGGAACAAGATCCCACAAACACTGTGGGAAAACCACCTGACTAAATATGGTTCCCAATCAGAGACAACCAGCAACAGCTGATACTCGTTGCCTCTGACTGAGAACCACTCTGGCCAACATAGATATACAAAAACTAGACTAGACACAACGAGCACAAAACATAAACTCTACACACCCTGGCTCAACTTAAAAGAGTCCCTAGAGCCAGGGCGTGACACCAAGGCTGTATACAGTACATTTACACTGACAGGCAGGGTGCGATGGATCTGTCTATTATCACATAATGGGGCCAATCATGTGGGCTATATATTATAATAAACTGGGTGGTTCGTGCCCTGAATGCTGATTGGCTGAAAGCCATGGTATATCAGACCGTATACCATGGGTATGACAAAACATAAATTTTTACTGCTCTAATTACGTTGGTAACCAGTTTATAATAGCAATAAGGCACCTCGGGGGGGTTGTGATATATGGCCAATATACCACGGCTAAGGGCTGTGCCTAAGAACAGCCCTTAGCCGTGGTATATTGGCCATATACCACACCCCCTCGTGCCTTATTGCTTAAGTATATTGTGATCCAAGTAAATAATCATTAATTCAATGAGTTGACAGGAGTTGAAAGTAAATGAACCCCATTTCGCTGAGTAGAGGTAAGCTCTCACCAATGCCCTGTGTTGCCTTGGCCGCTTTTATGCAGCAGTCGGCTCACCCAGCCATAACCTTGGCAACGGTCCAGGAGTGTCTTGGCCAGATAGAGGTGGCACAGAGGAGACTGGATACAACACCACTGGAACGGAAGGAGCTCCTCATCTAGAAATGGAGGGAGAGAAATAAAATGAGATTTGGCAATAAGGATGAATTTTCTAGTTTAAAAGACATGCAGTTGATTATTACATCATTGAATGCCATCATTGAATTGAACAACATTCCAAATGACAGGTTGAGCTTTCACTATATGACTTAAATGAGACGTAACCTACAGTGAGCCCCAGAAGTATTGGGACAGTGACAAATTTTTGTTGTTTTGGCTCTGTACTCCAGCACTTTGGATTTTAAATGATACAATGACTATGATGGTCAAGTACAGACTGTCAGCTTTAATTTGAGGGTATTTTCATCCACATCAGGTGAACCGTTTAGAAATTACAGCACTTTTTGTACATACAGTGCATTCAGAAAGTATTCAGACCCCTTGACTTTTTCCACATTTTGTTACGTTACAGCCTTATTCTAAAATGGATTAAATCGTTTTTTCCCCCCCTCATCGATCTACACACAATACCCCATAATGACGAAGCAAAAACAGGATTTTCGAAAGTTTTGCAAATGTATTAAAAATAAAAAACTGAAATATCACATTTACATAGGTATTTAGACCCTTTACTCAGTACTTTGTTGAAGCACCTGGCAGCGATTACAGCCTTAAGTCTTCTTGGTTATGACGCTACAAGCTTGGCACACCTGTATTTGGGGAGTTTCTCCCATTCATCTCTGCAGATCCTCTCAAGCTCTGTCAGGTTGGATGGGGAGCGTTGCTGCACAGCTATTTTCAGGTCTCTCCAGAGATGTTCAATTGGGTTCAAGTCTGGGCTCTGGCTGGGCCACTCAAGGACATTCAGAGACTTGTCCCGAAGCCACTCCTGCGTTGTCTTGGCTGTGTGCTTAGGGTCATTGTCCTGTTGTAAGGTAAACCTTCGCCCCAGTCTGACGTCCTGAGCGCTCTGGAGCAGGTTTTCATCAAGGATCTCTCTGTACTTTGCTCTGTTCATCTTTCCCTTGATCCTGACTAGTCTCCCAGTCCCTGCCGCTGAAGAACATCCCCACAGCATGATGCTGCCACCACCCTGCTTCCCCGTAGGGGAATGCCATACGAGACGCTTGGCATTCAGGCCAAAGAGTTCAATCTTGGATTCATCAGACCAGAGAATCTTGTTTCTCATGGTCTGAGAGTCTTTAGGTGCCTTTTGGCAAACTCCAAGCGGGCTGTCATGTGCCTTTTACTGAGGAGTGGCTTCCGTCTGGCCACTCTACCATAAAGGCCTGATTGGTGGAGTGCTGCAGAGATGACTGTCCTTCTGGAAGGTTCTCCCATCTCCACAGAGGAACTCTGGAGCTCTGTCAGAGTGACCATCGGGTTCTTGGACACCTCCCTGACCAAGGCTCTTCTCCCCCTCAGTTTGGCCGGGCGGCCAGCTCTAGGAAGAGTCTTGGTGGTTCCAAACTTCTTCCATTTAAAAATGATGGAGGCCACTGCGTTCTTGGGGACCTTCAATGCTGCAGATATTTTTTGGTACCCTTCCATCAGATCTGTGCCACAACACAATCCTGTCTCGGATCTCTACGGACAATTCCTTCGACCTCATGGCTTGGTTTTTGCTCTGACATGCACTGTCAGCTGTGGGACCTTATATAGACAGGTGTGTGCATTTCCAAATCATGTCCAATCAATTGAATTTACCACAGGTGGACTCCAAGTTTTAGAAACATCTCAAAGATGATCAATGGAAAAAATATGCAACTGAGCTCAATTTCGAGTCTCGGAGCAAAGGGGTCTGAATACTTATGTAAATAAGGTATTTCTGTTTTTTAGGTTTCATATATTTGCAAACATTTATAAAAACCTGTTTTCACTTTGTCATTATGGAGTATTGTTTGTAGATTGATGAGGATTTATTTATTTTTAATCCATTTTAGAATAAGGCTGTAACATAACAAAATGTGGAAAAAGTCAAGGGGTCTGAATACTTTCCGAAGGCACTGTAGTCCCCCCATTTTTGGGGACCAAAAGTATTAGGACAAATTCACTTATGTGTTTTAAAGTAGTCAAAAGTGTATTATTTGGTCCGATATTCCTAGCACGCAATGTTTACATCAAGCTTCTGGCTCTACAAACTTGTTGGATGCATTTCCTGTTGGTTTCCCACGGTGGGCCAGTATGAAAAATGTATGCACTCACTAACTGTAAGTTGATCTGGATAAGAGCGTCTGCTAAATTACTAAAAATGTAAAAATGTTTTGGTTGTGTTTCGGATTATGTTGTGCCCAATAGAAATGCATAGTAAATAATGTATTGTGTTATTTTGGATGTAGAATAGAATATGTTTCTAAACATTTCTACATTAATGTGGATGCTACCATGATTACGGATAATCCTGAACGAATCGTGAATAATGATGATTGAGAAAGTTAGAGGCATAAATATCCTACCCTCCAAAAAATGCTAACATCCCCTGTTATTGTAATGGTGAGAGGTTATGTCTTGGGGGTATGATATTTGTGCGTCTGTAACTTTCTCACTCATCATTATTCACGATTAATTCAGGACTATCCATAATCATGGTAGCAACCACATTAATGTAGAAGTGTTTAGAAACATATTCTATTCTTATTTACAATAAAGGTAAAGTCCTGGAGTACAGAGCCAAAACAAAAAAAGAATGTCCCTGTCCCAATACTTTTGGTTCTCACTGTATGTGTTTCTGTGCAGTGGCTCCAGAGAAGTAGCGCTCGCTGTATCCAGCCAACAGGGGACCTTGTGGGTCATACATACTTTGGACAGGATGGACAGGAAGACGTCACCCCAACTGCCACCCCAGCGCAGTCCCCGTAGCTCCCTCACCCGTATCCAATCCTGCTGGTTGGGGGGCAGGGTCTCAGGCCCAAAGGCCAGATCCTCCAGTGCTTAGGCGTGGGTACAGGGGCACGACGACACCCCCTAGGCCCACTCCTTCGGCTCACTCCTTTATGGCCCACATCTGGCACCTCTTCTGGGGGTCCCGTTTGGGCTCTGTGGGCCCGTCAGTTCATACACCAGCTGACCCAGCTGATCTATATTTCCCCACACCTCCTGAGGAAAAGTGGGCTCCTCCATCGGAGTAGCCTGTGAGGGTGTCATGGTGGATCCTCTGGCCAGGACCCCAGTACAACTCCCTGAAGCGTAGCAGGGCGAAGGAGCGCTCCACATCTGTAGTCAGGATTTACTGAAAGGTGTTAGTCTGGAAGTGGCCACGGGGTGGCACCACAGGAATAAAAAGATGGGGAGAGGATTTAGGTAGGTTACATTCTCCCAGCTAACACTTGAGGTTCTCACATTGCACACAACAATGGATGCCAAACTAGGACAGACATCAGAGGAAACCATACCACACCCTGTAACGTCCAATAACCCACTTTCCTGCTAGACATGCAATCATGTTTACCGCCAATAGACACCTACAGTATATGCCTCTATTGGAGTACGGCATGATTGGAATATGGTCATAGAAAACATTAGACCAATACCTCAGTGTGGTTGATTTCCTGGTAGGAGACAGCCATCACATAATCCCAGGTGATCTTTAGAATCCAGGCTGGGGTGAACGCAGGTTTGTCCTTCTGTTCCTCATACCGTACGATTGAAGACAATTTGGGAATATATACTGTATATCAGACATTTCAGCTGGTGGTATTCCTAGGAGAGAGAAAATAATTTAGATTAAATGAGATTAGATCAAACCCCTCAACCCTTGACCTCTCACCTGATAGAGCAGCTTCCCCTCCCCAGGGTGAGGTCAGCATCGTCACAGAACACGGACAGCATGGCCAGGCTTCCGTTGCCATGGAAACCACTAGGGAAGGGGACAGGAAGCAGGAACTGCTAGTTCTGACTGACAGACTGGAACTGGATGAGTCCATTATCTGAGAACTAAGCAGGATAGAGAATAATGTTTTACTAAATGTCCACAGCAAAGGCCATTTCAGTGAAGAATTACAGTGATGTACATTGTCTTGCAACTGCAAAATAGTAGAAAAATAGAATTGTACTAAAAATGAAAATAGTACTAATCACTTATCTTGCTCTCTTTGGTTCAGGGTTTCCAGTCTCAGAGTTGTGAGTAAAGATGTGGATACTTACATAGACAGATCAAACAGCTTGCCCATGAAGGGGAAACCCATAATTGGTATGATGTAGGGAGAGTTCCCATCTTCTGTGTCCAACCACACTCCTTTATCTCCCACCTGGTCACCAAACGGGTACAAATCACTCTGTGAATGAAACGCACAGTTAGTCAAACAGTGGCACACATCATTATAATTATGACATTATGATACACTTTTCACACATAGAAAAGCAGTTGAAGGACCCTGGGTAGTTTCTACAGGACGTGTGGGCGTGGCATGCCAAGGGCGACACACACTCATCCTGGTCAACACACCCTCCGTCCCCATTCCCCCCTCTCTCCCCCCTGGCATCCCACCCATTGGCACAGTGGACATGGACCTATCTAACAAGTAATATCTAACAATTTCACAACATATACCCAATACACACAAATCTAAGTAAAGCAATGGAATTAAGAATATATAAATATATGGACGAGCAATGTCAGAGTGGCATAGACTAAGATACAGTCGAATAGTATTGAATACAGTATATACATATGAGATGAGTAATGCAATATATGTAAACATTATTAAAGTGACTAGTGTTCCATTTATTAAAGTGGCCAGTGATTTCTAATCTATGTATATAGGCAGCAGCCTCTAATGTGCTAGTGAAGGCTATTTAACAGTCTGATGGCCTTGAGATAGAAGCTGTTTTCAGTCTCTCGGTCCCAGCTTTGATGCACCTGTACTGACCTTGCCTTCTGGATGATAGTGGGGTGAACAGGCAGTGGCTCGGGTGGTTGTTGTCCTTGATGATCTTTTTGGCCTTCCTGTGACATCGGGTGCTGTAAGTGTCCTGGAGGGCTGGTAGTTTTCCCCCGGTGATGCGTTGGGCAGACCGCACCACCCTCTGGAGAGCCCTGCGGTTGCGGGCGATGCAGTTTCCGTACCAGGTGGTGATACAGCCCGACAGGATGCTCTCAATTGTGCATCTGTAAAAGTTTGTGAGGGTTTTAGGTGCCAAGCCAAATTTCTTCAGCCTCCTGAGGTTGAAGAGGCGCTGTTGCGCCTTTGTCACCACACTGTCTGTGTGGGTGGAACATTTCAGTTTGTCAGTGATGTGTACGCTGAGGAACTTTCCACCTTCTCCACTGCGGTCCCTTCGATTTGGATAGGGGGGTGCTCCCTCTGCTGTTTCCTGAAGTCCACGATAATCTCCTTTGTATTGTTGACCTTGAGTGAGAGGTTATTTTCCTGGCACCACACTCCCAGAGCCCTCACCTCCTCCCTGTAGGCTGTCTCGTCATTGTTGGTAATCAAACCTAGTACTGTTGTGTCGTCTGCAAACTTGATGATTGAGTTGGAGGCGTGCTTGGCCACGCAGTCATGGTGAACAGGGAGTACAGGAGGGGGTTGAGCACGCACCCTTGTGGGGCCCCAGTGTTGAGGATCAGCGAAGTGGAGGTGTTGTTTCCTAACTTCACCACCTGGGGGCGACCCGTCAGGAAGTCCAGGACCCAGTTGCACGGGACCAGGGCCTCGAGCTTAATGATGCGCTTGTAGGGTACTATGGTGTTGAATGCTGAGCTATAGTTAATGAACAGCATTCTTACGTAGGTATTCCTCTTGTCCAGATGGGATAGGGCAGTGTGCAGTGTGATGGCGATTGCATCGTCTGTGGATCTATTGGGGCGGTAAGCAAATTGAAGTGGGTCTAGGGTGGCAGGTAAGGTAGAGGTGATAGGTCCACACACAGGGCCCCGATGCTCAGGAGGCCTGGCTGGCACACACAAAGGAACGACCCGGGCGTGTTGCGGCAGAGGGCGTGTTTGTGACAGGTTAGAGTTGTCCAGGCATTATTTGACGTGCTCGCAGCCTGTGCCATTGCCCTGGTAGCCGTCCCAGCTGTCAAAGACAAAGGAGCCGGGTGTGTTCTGGCAATCGGAGGTGTTCGGGCACTGCTCCAGCCCCACGGCACACTCGTCAATATCTAGACACAGAGAGTTGTTACTAGCCAGGAAGTCCATGTCACAGGGGCAGCAGTAGCTACTCTCAGCGTTGGTACAGGTGCTGTTGTCTGGACAGGTGAAGTTCTCCGCCTCACACTCGTCCGTGTCCATGCAGTGTGTCCTGTGGTCCTGGTAACCATCCCAACAGTCGCATGTATAGGAGCCCTCTGTGTTGAAGCTGTAGGAGATCTCCGGGCAGTACTACCGCCCCGATTGGCTATACTCGTCCACGTCCCAGCACGCCGCCACAGAAACTGTCCCGGCAGTGGCTGTAGAAGGAGCACTTGGTGGGGTGGCACGCTGCAAGAGGGTGGCACACACTGCTGGCATTCAGGCAGTCCTCCTCAGACACACATGTGTCTGCTCCGTAAACTAAGCCCAGGATGCAGGTGCAGTTGTACCTCCTGGAGGTTGTGGCACGTCATGTTCTCCCTACAGGTGGAGGGTGAGAGACATTCATCCACATCCTCACTGTCGAACCCGTCCCCCTGGTACCCCTCCTGGCACCGACAGAGGAACCGTCTGTGTTGTTGGAAAGGGTCAGGGAGCTGCAGTTCTGGGGCTGGGTGGAGTTGTTGGGACACTGGTCAACATTCTGGCACTCATAGCCAGTGCCTTCGATGCCAGGTGGGCAGGTACAGTTGAAGGATCCAACCATGTTGAGCAGCTGGCAACGGGGTGGCATCCTCCATTTTGGGTTTGGCACTCATCAAAATCTATAATTCATCCAAAATGGGACAGTGTCAAGGAAACAGCCCCACAAGTTGCTAAAAGAAAGCTCACAAGCAAATCCACAGAAAAGCAGGGCAGGTACAGTATAGATGAACAGTCTAAACAAAGTAATGTAATGTATACTGATGATAGAAATGATAAGAGAAATGGTATGTGTAAGGGATAATTGATTGGTTAAGATCATTGCATCTTCGCTGACCTATTCAATCAGTAAACAGAACCAAGACATTCTATGGAAGGTCCAATAAACCTTGTTATTCAGAAGAGGCGGGACTAACAATCACATTCTGCGCGATGCGGGAGAGATAGAGTGCCATGATAAGAAGCCTACAGAACAAAGACACAACTAAAATAACTTTTAAAAAACAGTTCGAAATAATGTGACTTACCTGAAATCAGTGGAGTCTACTGGAGAACGGAAGAGAGACTTTTGAATAAAGAAAGGTAGGACTTTGCAACTGAGTGGTTATTGAGAAATATTGAGTGGTTCTGGTAGTTTCTGTGACAAAATCAAATCTTCTTACCAACGCAGTTTGTCCCGTTCTATCTGTAGCCCACTTTGCAGAAGAGGGTGGGATATTCACACACTGTCTCATTCTGGGGGCACACATTCTCCTGACACTCATTTAAGTCAGAGCAGGCGAGTCCATCCCCCTCAAAGCCTAGGTCACACCCATGTAGCCAGCGGGTGAGGGTTGGCAGAGCCCATTTGGGTGGCAGGCAGGGGCACATCAGGGACTGGGGGCCACACAGGGGTCATTTTAGGTCACTGTCCCATTCATACAGGAACAGACGTAGGCTCCGGGGGAGTTGACACACTCTGAGATGGGTGGGTGGGGGGGGGGGGGGGGGGGGGGACAGGTTGTGGCGTTGGAGAGGGCACACTCATCCACATCCTGCCAACAGAAGCCGTCCCCGGTGAAGCCCTGCTGGCAAGAGCAGGAGAAGTCGCCGGGCACATTGGCACACAATACCCGCGGGTCTACATCCTCGCTTGGAGCTGTTGCCTGTGAATCGGTGCTTACAGGTACAGGTATGGGAGCCCACTGTGTTCAAACAGGTGGCATTGACGTGGCAGGGGTTGTCCACTTTGCACTCGTTGATATCCGTACAGGCCATGGTCACCTGGCAAGGGCACTCGTACGCCCCCTCAGTGTTGGAGCAGCGCTCATTGAGGTGGCACGGCTCCTCCATGGCCTGGGACTCATATACAATGAGTGTACAAAACATTAGGACCACCTTCCTAATATTGAGTTGCACCCCCTTTTGCCCTTAGAACAGCCCCAATTCATCTGGGCATGGACTCTACAAGGTTTCGAAAGCGTTCCACAGGGATGCTGGCCCATGTTGACTCTAATGCTTCCCACAGTTGTGTCAAGTTGGCGTGATGTCCTTTGGATGGTGGACCATTGTTGATACACACGGTAAACTGTTGAGCGTGAAAAACCCAGCAGCGTTGCAGTTTTTGACACACTCGAACCGGTGTGCCTGCCACCTACCATACCCCGTTCAAAGGCACTTAAATATTTTGTCTTGCCCATTCGCCTTCTGAATGGCACACATACACAATCCATGTCTCAATTGTCTAAGGCTTAAAAATCCTTCTTTAACCTGTCTCCTCCCCTTCATCTACACTGATTGAAGTGGATTTAACAGGTGACATCAATAAGGGATCATAGCTTTCACATGGACTCACCTGGTCAGTCTGGCATGGAAAGAGCAGGTGTTCCTAATGTTTTGTACACTCAGTGTATATCCTGGCAGATGGTGCGGTTGACCAGGTCAAACCAGGGCGGACACAGACTGGAGAAGGAACCTTTAGTGTTGACGCAGGTGGCTTTGTTCCAGCAGCCTCCATTGTCCACCAGTTCACATCTGCACACTGGATCACCCCATCCCCAGAGTAGTCCACCTGACAGCTGCAGTTGAACGTGCCCGCCAGGTTGGTGCAGAGGGCATTGGAGTGGCACTGCTGTACCATGGAGCACTTGTCCAGGTCCTCACAGGTGATGCCGTTGCCCCTGTACACTTCCCTGCACTTACAAGTGAAGGAACCCGGGAAGTTGGCACAGGTGAAGAAGGGGCTACGGTGCCCAATGGCACACTCATCCAGGTCCATGCACTTTGAGTCATTGAAGATGTGGCTGGTGAGACAGTTGCAGTAGAACGACCCTACGATGATGACACACGCGGCCGAAGCAGGGCAGATATTAGGGGTGACACACTCACCGATGTCTGTGCACTCTCTTCCATCCCGATATCCGGAGCGGCAGGAGCAGTCATAGCTGTCCAGCACATTGATACAGGCAGTGTTTGGATCACATTTATTCTGCCAATTACACTAATTAATGGCCCTACAGGTCAGCCCATTCCCATTTAGTTCATCGAAGCAGGTGCAGCGGTACGAGCCCAGCATGTTGACACAGTCATCGAAGAGACTCTGAACTGGGAGTCTCTGAACTGGTAGCCTAGCGGTTAAGAGCGTTAGGCCAATAACTGAAAAGTTGCTGGTTCGACTCCCCGAGCTGACTAGATGAAAAATATGTCGATGTGCCCTTGAGCAAGGCACTTAACCCTAATTGCTCTGGATAAGAGTGTCTGCTAAATGACTCAAATCTCAAGTAAATGTATATCCAGACACAGGTAGTTCCCATTGCCCTTAAAGTATGTGTTATAGATGCACACATAGGAGCTGTTAGTACAAAATCCAATTTTATTTGTCACATGCGCCGAATACAACTTTACCGTGAAATGCTTACTTACGAGCCTTTTCCCAACAATGCAGTTAAAAAGAAAGAACCATTTGTACAAAAATACAAAAGGAAATAGGACGGCGGGCCTCCTACCGCAGGTTGTCACAGTGAGACAGTCCCCCAGCCTACCCAGCCGTCTGCCCAGGTCAGCAATGCCAGACTGTCCCTTAAGGAGAAGTATGACGGTACTCCATCGAAATGCCGTGGCTTCCTACTCCAGTGCTCCCTCTATTTCGCCTATCAGATGGGAGCCCCCACCACCGAGAGGTCCAAGGTTGCACGGTCATTTCCCTGCTGACCGGACGGGCGTTGGAGTGGGCTACGGCCATCTGGGAGAGAGGAGGAGCTGGGTTCCTATGAGAGGTTCATTGCTCTGTTCAGAGCAGTCTTTGACCATCCTCCAGAGGGCAGAGAGGGAGGTGAGCGACTTTTCCATCTCCAGCAGGGTGCCCAGACCGCTGCGGAGTACGCCCTCACCTTTTGGACTGTGTCAGCCTCCAGCGGATGGAATGAACTGGCGCTCTGCACTCTATTCCGCAGTGGACTGCGTGAGGAGGTCCACACGGAGTTGGCATGTCGGGATGACAACATATCCTTGGACGCTCTCATCACAATGGTCATCCGTCTGAATAACCTTCTTCAGGAGCGCCGGTGTCCACCTGCCACTCGCTTCCCTCCTTTGGCTGTCCTGAGGCAGAGCCTGAACCCATGGAGGTGGGGGCCATGCACCTCTCCGCGGCAGAGCGGCATCACCGGAGACAGCTGGGTCTCTGTCCCTACTGCGGCCAGGAGCGGCACCAGCTTCAGCGGTGTCCGGTGCGTCCCAACCCGGGTTCCACTGGAGCAGAGGGGCGGCCCCGTGACCTTCCGTCTCCCAGGGTAGGCGTCAGTATTCCATTATCGTTTTCCGCCAAACCTTTTCTGGTTCCCATTTCACTGGCTGGCTATCCCTCAAGTGTTGTCTCTACAGCTCTAGTGGATGCCGGTGCCGCTGGGAACTTCTTCAACCAGGCCTACGCCTCCTCTCTGAACATAACTTCATACCCGCTCTCCTCTCCTTTTCCTGTCCAAGTGCTGGATATGCGACCATTGGGATCCGGCACAATTACGCATATCACAGCACCACTCACCCTCACCGTGGGACCCATGCACCAGGAAAGCCTTCCCTTCCTCATCACCACCGCACCTGTACACAAAGTCATCCTCTGCCTCCCGTGGCTCCAACTTCATAACCCCACCATCTCCTGGTCGAGGATGAAAATCACTGCTTGGGGACCAGGATCCCGGAGGACCTGCTTTCCCACACCCTGTGGTTCCACGTTGGTGGAGGTTCCTGTGAGTGCCCTCCAGCCTATCAATCTGTCCTCCCGAATCGTTGGGACGTAGATGTGGACATCTGCCAGGCTCTGGAGAGGGAACCCGCTCCTGCTACCTGCCATCCAGAGCGCATCGACATCCCCACGGGGTGAGAGATCGGCTGTTGACCTGGGCACACACATACCTCGCCGCTGGACACCCACGTATCACCCGCACCATCAAATCCCTCTCCGATAAATCCTGCGACGTCACCGGCCCACCTTGGCGCAGGACGTTGCCCTCTATGTCAATTCATGCACCGTATGTATCCAATCCAAATCTCCCCGGCACGCTCCAGCAGGGAAACTACTTCCCCTTCCTGTGCCTCAGCGCCCTTGGTCACATCTGTCCATAAACTTTGTAACTGATCTACCCCTTTCTGATGGTTTTACCTCTATTATGGTCGTTGTTGACAGATTCTCTAAATCCTGCCGTTTTATCCCTCTCTCTGGTCTACTTACTGCTCTCCAGGTCGCTGAGTCACTATTCTAGCAGGTCTTCCGGCACTATAGCCTTCCGAAGGGCATCATTTACGACCGTGGTCCCCAATTCACGTCGCTGGTCTGGAAAGCCTTTATGGAGAAGCTGGGGGCCACGGTCAGCCTCACATCCGGGTACCGGCCTCAGTCCAACGGGCAGGTGGAGAGGACCTTGATGCTCTCGGCCCGCTCCACTACAGCCCTGTCAATGTAACAGGTGGCATTCCCATGTCAGATTTCACGGTTTGTGCATTCGTCAATGTCCGTGCACTGAAACCCATTTCCATTGAAGCCACCTATGTACTGCAGTCTTGCCCTCCTTCTCTATTTGTACAGAGGGCATTGGCGTGGCAGCCTCTGTTCGTAATCTGGCATTCGTTGACGTCCTCACATTGGACACTGTTGCCGAGGTAGCCATCCAGACACACACAGCTGTAGCTGCCCAGTGTGTTGTGCGATGTGCCTTTGGGTGGCAGCCGTTGAGGCCAGTAACACACTTGTCAATGTCCTCACCCTGTAATCCATCTTCCTGGTAGCAAATCCGACACACACATACACAGTCATTGACTTCAGCCTTGAGGCACTTGGCGTGGGTGTGGCATTTACTTCCCACCGATTCACAGTCACTCAGATCAGAAACTAGAGAGAGAGAGAGAGAGAGAGAGAGAGGAGGGAATAATTATTAGAATAGAGATAAATGTATTGAGACAGTTAGTTTATTTAGAACTCATATACTATACTAGACCAAAACAAAATGTAATTGATAAAGAGAGAGATGACTACAGTCAAGATGACATGCAACCAGATTGTGGACAGACTCACCTACAGAGCAGTGGTAACCTGCAAGAAAAAGAATACAGTGAAAATTGTGAAATTGAAATGCATAACATAGAAGTTTGCATGTTTATTTTCCTACTGCCTTGAGACTGTGATTTGGAGGCTCTGGAAGTCCTGTTAAAATGTCAGTGCATTATCCCCCATCCCTTGAATGAGTCACAGAGATGCCAGAACAGAAGTTATATCATAGAGCTCAGTTCTGGGAAAGTAGGGAAAGTTTCAATGTCACATGCACAAGTACAGTGAAATGCCTTTCTTGCTAGCTCTAGCCCCAACAATGCAGTAATCAATAACAATGTAATACTAAAAATAACAAAGTAGAACAAAAACACACGAGAACTAAAAATAAGAAATTAGAAGAACACGATAAAGTAAGTAAGCATACTATCTACAGGCTCAGTTCCAGTACCATATTTACAATGTGCAGGGATCCTGGATCGATAGAGGTAGATATGTATAGGGGTAAGGTATATAGGCATCAGGATATATGATTAAAGAGTAGCAGCAGGGTATTTGATTATTGTATGTGAGTGTGTGTGTGTAGAGTCAGTATAAATGAATGTGCATATTGTGTGTGTGTGTGTGTGTGTTTGTGTGTGTGTGTGTGTGAGCAAATGATGGAGTGAGTGTTTGTATGTGTGTTGGAGTATCATCGTGCGTAGTGCCTGTGAGGGTAAATAGAGACAGTGCAAAAATAAGAATAAAATACAAAGGTCAACTCAGTCTGTGTAGCCATTTGGTTACCTATTTAGTTAGCTAGTTAGCAGTCTTATGGCATTGGGATAGAAGCTGTTCAGGAGCCTGTTGGTGTCAGACTTGATGCACCGGTCTTTGGCTTGGGTGGTTGGAGTCTTTAACGATTTACCGGGTCTTCCTTTCATATTGCCTGATATAGAGGTCCTGGATGGCAGGGAGCTCGGCCCCAGTGATGTAATGGGCTGTCTGCACCACCCTCTGTAGCGCCATGCGATCGAAGGCGGTACTATTGCCATACCAAGCAGTGATGCAGCCAGTCAAAATGCTCTCAATGGTACAGCTGTATAACTTTTTGAGGATTTGAGGGCCCATGCCAAACCTTTTCAACCTCCTGAGGGGGAAGAGGCGCTGTCGCGCCTTCTTCACGACTGTGCGTGTTTGTGGACCATTTTAAGTTCTTAGTAATTTGGACACCAAGGAACTTGAAGCTCTCGACCCGCTCCACTGCAGCCCTGTCTATGCGGATGGGGGCGTGCTGACCCCCACCCCGTTTCCTGTAGTCCACAATCAGCTCCTTGGTCTTACTGACATTGAGGGAGAGGTTGCTGTTCCGGCCCCAATTCCTTGTTGTGTTTAATGGTGGTAAAGTATTTGTTACATTTCTTAGGGTCCCTTTTGTTTCCATAACCTACTTCCACTCAAAACATTAACGCAGGGTCTACTATTACCTTAACATGAAGCCTATTTTTAAGACATGAATCAACCCACCACAGGAGATCACTGAAAAGGTACTGATATTATTATCAAATTATAACCGGAACGTTGTTAAACATTGATAGGCTAAAATAGGGAGGAAACTGAAATAGCGGTAGTTGCTATTCATATTTGGGTTGGAAATATAGATAATTTTGCAAATGACTTATACAAATGTCAAGACATATTCCAAAAAAGGTATTTGATTAAATGTTTTAACTAATTATTTGGCAGTAACTGCTGTTTCTTTGATTAGGCCACAAAATGAACAACCTGAGAAAAAAGGACACTACTGGAATCCATTATTGTTTGTTCAAAGAATGTCCCCATAATGCCTTAGACTGTATTGTTGAGCATCCAAATAGGTGAGACTTGTAAGTCCAGAGGGGTTAGAAATAAACATCCCCTAAAAGCCCTGAATAGAGGAAACTGATCAAAAACAATCCCTGTTTTCTGATTGAATTACAAGCTAAATGCTAAGATTCTCTCTAGGCCAGGTTCAATCATTGTGTGTCTATGTCGGGACAGAGCTCCGTATGAACCTGGGTGGTGGTGAGTTTTTACGTAAGAATACAATCTACTGTAAGTCTCAGAGGACCTTATTCTGCACAGTAAAGTTATACAGTTACAGTAAACTAAAGGTTATGTTTGCCTCCTACCAAACCCCGACATTTCAACATTAGGCGCAGTATCCACTGTACTCTACGGGTAAGTTACTGGGCCATGAAGTGTAGGCTATTTGTTTTCAGGTCCAGAAATAGTTCAAATTTAAATCTAGTAGATTAGAATTGTTCTAATACAACGTTCCAGTTTCAATGTTGAAACCCAAATGATCTATATCTCAACTTGGCAAATGAAGAAGGTAAAAGAGACATACCATTGCCTTCACTTACGGATAAGGTAAAGATTCTGTATAGATAAAAAAATATTCTCGAAGACTATAGATATGAAAAGAATATGGCCAAGGTACAATGATCTGTGATGTAAGGATTCCCTTTGAAAGAAGGCACACCTGTTCATTGAAATGCTTTCCAGGTGACTACCTCGTGAAGCTGGTTGAGAGAATGCCAAGCGTGTGCAAAGCTGTCATCAAGGCAAAGGGTGGTGTCACGAATTCAGCCGAGGCTGCCCCTCCTCCTTGCTCGGGCAGGCTTCGGCGTTCGTCGTCACCGGAGTACTAGCTGCCACCGATATATGTTTCTGTGTTCCACTTGTTTTGTCTTGATTGCACACACCTGATTCCCATCACGTTAATTTGTTTCCCTATTTTACTCTCTGGTTTCCTCATGGTGTTGTGCGTGATTGTTCGTTGTTTTGCTGTCTTTCTTGTGAGCTGGTATTTTTCTTCATTGCGTGGAAGATATGCTCTGTTACTTTTGTTAAGTTAAGTATGTCGTTTACTAAGTTCTGTGTCCTGCGCCTGACTCCGCCCTACCGCTACACACTGACGCATGACAGAATCACGCACCCATAATGGAGTCAGCAGGCACATCCATTCCTCCAGGATCAGTGGAGGAACGCATCCAGCAGCACTCAACCATGCTACAGACTCTCGGCACAGCCATGGATCAAGTACTACAGTCGATGGAGCGATGGGAGAGAGGGGGTTTTCCTACACCTCCTCCCACTACAAATCCCCCCACATCGCTGTCTACTCCTTCACCACCTGGATCCAGTGGGATTCGGCTCTCGCTCCCGAGGGCATATGACGGAACAGCTGCCGGGTGCCAGGGGTTTCTGCTCCAGGTGGAGCTTTACCTGGCGACCATCCACCCGGCTCCCTCAGGATACGAGAGCGTGTCCGCCCTCATCTCCAGTCTGTTGGGGAAAGCGCTCGAGTGGGCCAACGCTAAGTGGGGAGGTATAGACGCAGCATCGGTGCGCTATGAGGATTTCACCAGCCGCTTCCGGGCAGTATTTGATCATCCACCGGAGGGGAGAGCGGCGGGGGAACGGTTGTTCCACCTCAGACCGGGGAGGAGGAGCGCACAGGAATTCGCACTGGACTTCAGGACCTTGGCAGCCAGCGCGGGATGGAATGAGAGGGCCCTGATCGACCATTACAGATGCAGCCTACAGGAGGACGTTCGTCGAGAGCTGGCCTGCAGGGACACCACCCTCAACCTCGACCAGCTGGTGGACTTATCTATATGGCTGGATAACCTGTTGGCCACCCGCGGACGTCCAGATCAGGGTCCGTCCAGTCCATCTCCCAGCACTTCCGAGCCTACACTGATGGAGCTCGGAGGTGCTGATTTAAGGGTTACCGGAAGGGGGGCTGTTTCCTGCACCAACTGTGGCCGCAGAGGACGCACTGCTGGTCGGTGCTGGAGAGGGTCCTCAGAGAATCGAGGCAGCAGGCAGGGCACTGGAGGACCATCCCAGGTGAGTAGGCACCCGACTCACACAGAGCTCCCTGTTGCTCACATGTGTATTCACGTTGAATTTCCTGAGTTTTCCCCGCATTCCAAGCATAAGGTGCTCGTAGATTCAGGCGCAGCTGGGAATTTTATAGACTGTCTATTTGCACATTGATTATTTGTCCTGTTGATGTGCCCTTCCCTATACATGCCTTAGATAGTCGCCCTTTAGGGTCAGGCCTGATTAGGGAGGTCACAGATCCACTCTGGATGAAAATGCAGGAGGGTCATGAGGAGAGAATCAATCTCTTCCTGATCGATTCTCCTGCGTTTCCCATGGTGTTGGGGCTTCCCTGGTTAGCCTCTCATGACCCCAATATTTCGTGGCGACAGAGGGCTCTCAAGGGATGGTCACGTCAGTGCTCGGGAGGTGTGTAGGTGTTTCCGTAGGTGCAACGACGGTGGAGAGTCCAAACCAGGTCTCCACTATGCACATTCCCCCCGAATATGCCGATTTGGTTCTCGCCTTCTGTAAAAGGAAGGCGACTCAATTACCACCCCATCGACAGGGGGATTGTGCGATAAATCTCTGGGAGGGCGCTGCACTTCCTCGGAGTCGCGTGTATCCTCTGTCACAGGAGGAAACGGCGGCTATGGAATCATATGTCTCCGAATCTCTGGGACAGGGATACATTCGGCCTTCCAATTCCCCTGTTTCCTCTAGTTTCTTTTTTTGTGAAGAAGAAGGATGGAGGGTTGCGCCCGTGCATTGACTATCGAGGTCTCAATCAGATAACTGTTAAGTACAGTTATCCACTACCGCTCATTGCGAGTATGACGGAGTCATTGCACGGGGCACGCTTCTTCACCAAATTGGATCTCAGGAGCGCGTACAATCTGGTGCGTATCCGGGAGGGGGATGAGTGGAAGACGGCATTTAGTACCACCTCTGGGCACTATGAGTACCTCGTCATGCCGTACGGGTTGATGAATGCTCCCTCAGTCTTCCAATCCTTTGTCGATGAGATTTTCAGGGACCTGCACGGACAGGGTGTAGTGGTGTATATAGATGATATTCTCATCTACTCCGCTACATGGGCCGAGCATGTGTCCCTGGTGCGCAGGGTGCTTGGTCGACTGTTGGAACATGACCTGTACGTCAAGGCTGAGAAATGTCTGTTCTTTCAACAGT